GTGTAGAGTCTCTTCATGTATGTGTAGAGTCTGGTATGTATGTATGTATCTCTGAGATACATACATACAATCTAATTATTGTATGTATTTCTTCAAGGACTCCAATAGAGATACATTGTATCTCTATTAGTCTCTTGTATGTGTAAAGTCTTGTATGTATATATGTATCTCTGAGATACATACATACAATCTAAGTATTGTATGTATTTCTTCAAGGACTCTAGGAATGATTAGTGCCTAAATATCCACGAAGGATACCCACGCGAAGAGTCTATTGGAAAACCATCTCCAGCGAAGTCCCGCCAAAGAATCCTTGACGGCTGCCGTAAGTTGATTGAGCGGAGACCGACTGGCTCTTAGCGAGGAGGATTTATCAGGGATTTGCTCTAAAAATTTTATCAGGGATTTGCTTTACTCTAGATTTATCAAGGATTTGCTCTAAAAACCCTCAAGAAATACAGTTTCTCCGCCTCGGCATGTATTAGCGAGCAGTACCAGCGACAGGTCCAGAATTTATGCAACAAATTAATATAAATCAGAGAGAATGAGAAACATTCCTTCATTATTTGACGTTTTCACTTGTTTAATCACATACTATATTTCCGTCGATTTTTGGCCATTCGTATATCATTGCGACCAAAAATTATAATTAATTAGATTCGCATTTCAAGTCTATGTAGATTTATTTCAGTTATTTATATCTATTTTTTTATTAGTTGTTTTATTTCATGCGGCATTCTAGTCAATTAATGACTCCGCAAATGTATTGGTGAATTGTGTTAAACGTCAGATTGCTTAGAAAGCAAATCAAAATTTTCGGGTCTGAAGGTCAGGATTATTTAAAAAAATTTTATGCCCTAAATTAAAAAAAAAAACATCAGTTATATCCGTGAAAGTGACAGCATGTATTTCTGTACTATCGATTTAAACATGCATTTGCCCAGTCTAATTTGTGGTTAATAAAAAATCCTAAATTATATAGCGAGTTTTCTAAATTTGATGAAGTCCATATGCTCTTAGGCCATATTTGATTTAACCGTGTCTCGAATTGGATAATACAAGCCATCCATTTTGGATATCGAACGGGATAAATTGCTTCGTCTTTACGTCTCTTATAGAAATGATTGCTCTGAATAATCCTTTGCATTCACTGCCTCCGGGAGATATAGTCTATGCACCTGAGATCGGTCGTGCGTCGGGGCTTGAATCTTTTTGGATTCGGGAAACATCCATCGAGCTTTTGCTCTGTTTCAATTACAATATGCAAATTGGAGCTCCCTCAAAAAAGTTTACTTTGCATTAGGCTCTGGCCTCTAACTATCATACGCTGGCCTTATAAAGTAAGCAAACGCCAGCCATTTTAGAGACCTGCAGCGAAGCGATCGGGCCGAGTGATGAAAGAGAGGCGTTAATATAAGCGATTCACTCAATGATTACAAGTTCTGTGATGTTCTAAATTTCTGCGTTAATGTTGAGTTTAGCGATGATCCCATGTTCTACGATGATGTTAGCTTGTTCTGCAATGACATTTAACCGGTCTGAAGATCGCGCATTGAGCGATGATCTCATGTTCTGAAATGTTCTCTTATTCTGAAATGATCGCACGTTTAGAAATTATCGCATTTTGGTCAATGATCTTTTTTCAAGTGCCGGACTGTTATCGGTTTATCAAGTTTGATTTTCCCTTGAGGCTCAAACGGCTGGTCAAACAGCCAGCTTACCATATTGCAATTATTCTTCAGAATCCAGCTCTGAAATTCTGTTTGCAGTGAAGAGAATTTGTTACTGTAACACACCCAGAGAATTTACATATATGCCAATTGCACTCATCATCGATTGTGTTATTCTGTATCACTTAGTTAATGGCGAACGAACCACTCATGCTGCTAAGGCTTTGTCGCANGACACGGCTAAGTCGGTCATAATTGATTGTGTGGCAAGCGCTTGCAGATTAGTTTATTCTGAACATTTGTCATAAAAATATAGGAAAACAGAATTTAACACAAGTTTTATCAAATCTTGATGATTGCGTTGCTTAAGATGCCCCATAACAACAAAGAATTTACAAAACTGGAACTGTTCACCTCAATCTGAAAAATGTAGTCATTACTTAAGAGAAGAAGAAGAACCAAACCATTAACAACCAATTAGGCTGAATCGTCAAGCGATTACTTGCGGTGTTGGTTATCGAATGTTTTTCGCGTGATGAAAGTTTTTTTGTAACGATACAAGGGGCTGAAGATAAATTTTTTATGTTCGCGATTTCGATGGTTTGCAACAACACTACATGCACATACTTGGCTAAACACCCTGGAATGATTTTTAAGCCTATTTTATTTGTTTAATAACATAACTCTATTAATAATAATAATTTAATGCGTACTTTAAATGTATTTTCCTCTTTTTCCAGGGCAGTCGACAGCAACAAGCAAAAGCTACGACAGATAAGGTATGTATCTAGATTATTAATATAGTCAGATTATTTATTAGTCTCTGCATCAATTTGTTTGCATATTTAATGCAAATATCAGACCAGTTAGGGAATCAAGAATGGTAATCTGCTTAATTAGTGTCTGGTTGAATATTAACACTAGCCGTAAAAAATGTAACGGAAATCATGAATCATTTTGAAGACGATAATTTCGCTAAAATTCTTCCGTAAAGATTTTCTGTAAAAAAAATTCGTTAAATTAACTCTTGAATTAAGTGGATATCGTTAATTGTGAGTAGCCTTTCACTCACGGCGAGGTATGCTAATTAATTCATAATATTTCTCCAATACCTCTATTGTGTTGAGTAAAATAGAATTTTTAATATATCCCTTTAATCAACGTTTGTTTATTAACTACGGGGTTTGTGTTAAAATTTTATCGTAGAAACACTACAACAATTGAAGATTAGAAATCTCGATTTCTAATCGTATAGGGGAATCGTAACCAATAAATATTTACTGATTTAGTTTTCTTTCATCAATTAAAAAATATTCCCGAGTTACGTATTATATTTTATATAATAATACCTGTGGTTTTGGGTCATATTTACAGACCTCTCAATACCCCTTCCTGTTCCGCGATCAGGCGTTTCTTTGCCGGTCTAGTGTCTTCAGTTTTTTGTCGTTGGCCGCTGTAAGTCTCTTGAGTCCACAGCCTGGGACTTGTTTGCTCGGGGCCATCGTAATTTGACTTTCGTTACGTGCCATTTGTTTGCACGATCGGGCTCCTTTTACCAGGTTTTTCTTTGGACTTTTCTTCCGAATATTTTTATGTGTGTGCCTTAAGGACCATTTCCTAAAAATTCTGCGGCTGGGTCATGATTTTGGTTGAATAGAATTTATGATCTGCTGAGAGTTTCAGGACGGGTTTGAGTTCAAAATTATTATGGAATACTATTGAATATTCTTTTATTTTTGTAAGGTGGGCTTGCCTCTTGCTGCATGTGGCTGGGACTTCTTATAGATGTTTTTAGAATATATGGTAGGTATAATTAGCCAAACTCTCCTGATTTTAAATGCATGAGAGGTTTGACTTAATTGGCCCAAATTATTCCTATAGATTTATAAATCAAAAATATTTTTCATCTTTCTCCACTTAAGAAACTGTTTTCGCAATTCTGATGCCTAATTTGTTATCGGTTTTCCATTTTTTTCATTAATAATATGCATTGCTTCATTAACATTATTCCTTATTTTCGGGAAGGAATTACCGAACTTTTTACTAATGTTCTCTATCATCTAATGTTTTGTTTAAGCGCACAATCTAGAATAGTGTTAATTTTATCCAAGTTTTAAAAAGGTATTTTAGGAGCGTCATGAAATTCCCCAAGTCCGAATCACCGAGCGAGTCGCTCACTTATCCTAATTGCAATAACTTCATATTCCCCGAGTCTGAAGTGAGCAAATTATGCAAACTTTTGCATAACAGAATGCGAGCCAAAGTTAGGTTGCACAGAATGTGCAACTGTGCGAGTTTCGTTGGCATATTGTCGTATTTCTGTCGGGTTACGCCCTAAAAAATGCATGGAGATCGTGAAACTGTTATGTAGTGACTATTATAGCCGTTTTTTCATTTTGACTTGGCATGCTGATTCATGACGGTTTTTTCAGGTTAATATTACTGCTTTATTAATCCAGGTTTAAGATGTAGAAATTACATAGTTATTGTAGAAATAAAAGTGTAAAATGACTGTATAAATCTCAAATATTCCCGAATGAGTGTTCTCTTAAAACAAAAAGAAAAATGGTTATTCAGTATCAACTAAAACTTAATAAATTTAATAACGTTGCATTAACACAATGAGGTTTCAGATTTGCATGAAATTTTAAGGTGATGAAATTCTAGCAGAAATTTTTTTAAACTTTTATTAAAATCTAATATTTCTGCCTGCTCTATGTATCAGGGAGGAATTTTAAACTGTTAAATGATGAGATTTACAGTCCATCTGCACTAAAACTATATAGTTGTCTCCTAATTACCTGCCTTTAGCTACTGAGAGGTTTCACTTCTTTTTTAAACGAGGAATAACCAGCCTCGTGTTTACGATAATTAGAATAAATTTAGTTTTAATTTATTACAAGAATTGCATTCAATTTAATTGATTTAGATTTTGTTAAAATTAGTTTCTGGTAAAGTGTTCGGTGGACCTTTTTGGGAAGGCAACAGATTTCGAATAACTCGTCGTAGCGACCATGCACATAAAAGAAACGTACCGTTTGCTCGGTTACAGATAAAAATAAACAATTTTATGAATACACGAAACTTTGGATGGCGTTAGATCGGAACCTGATGGACTAAAAACATTTAAAATTATTGGTTGGAATTTCAAATTTAGAATGAATTGCTTCATTGGTGTTTTGACTTAACAAGAGTCTGTTAATGAAGAATACTTCAAATTTGATCTCGTCTGCTCAACAGCCTAATAGAAATATCCATCTATTGGGAGCTATCTATATACTTACGGATGCTCAAATACGGACTTTATCTCCGTATATCATTGCTTACTGTTATTTTAAATATAGGTAGACGGAGCTAGGATTGAGGCTCCGCATTCGCTTTACGCACGTCTTGCTTCCATAAGCCGCTTGTCGCGTTAATAATGAACGTTGATATGAACTGCTAATTAATTTATATACTAAGGAAGAAATTAATAATGAACGTTGATATGAACAGCTAATTAATTTATATACTAAGGAAGAAATTAATAATGAACGTTGATATGGACAGTTAATTAATTTATATAGTAAGGAAGAAATTAATAATGAACGTTGATATGGACAGTTAATTAATTAATAAATTAAAGGAAGAAATTAATGTAAGCAATCGTCCGGAAGCGTCAGCGACCGCGAGTATCGACTCGTAACCTTGCTTTACTTGGACCTTCGAGTCTGATGGACCGCTTACAACGAGCGTTTGTGGCGCTCTTATGTTTACTTAAGTTTACCGTATATGTATATTTCCGCTAGCTCATGCCTGCATCATGTTTATATGAAGAATCCTCTCCATGGTGTTTCAAACATTCTTCATGCCTCCAGCATGCACTAGCATTCGTCATGTAACATGATTACATCATCCAACATGCTTACGTCATGTAACATGATTACATACCCAACATGCTTCCATCATCTAACATGATTATTGATTACGTCACCCAACATGTAACACGATTCTCTCAAGCTACATGTTTTCATCTTGTATCCCCACACAACATTTCAATCGTACGTATTTCAAATTATGTAAGTGAAGTTTTTGGCGCACGCAGTTCACCGCGTATCTCCAAGGCGCTTGCAATAACACCTCCCTTATATATACCATCGACCGTCCCTACTGACTTCCGCGGCCGAGAATTGCGCCGAGTTTGCCTGAAGAAATTTGCCATCATTTCCAAGCTATTGATGTTTCCTTGCGTTTTTTATTATAAGATTTAGGCTGCGTTCACTTGGAAAGGAATTTTATTTGCGAGATAGAGCCTGGTTACGAAAAAATTCTAGCGAAGAGAATCTGTCGGAAGTGTAGCACGCTAGTACGTGCGCGCTGAGTAACAAGTCTTTAATATTGGGCATTTTATCTGAATAAATAAAACAGCGAACAAATAAACACGAACACCACGTTTAATTTCATTCATTTTTTTATCACTATACATGATAGTGTGATTCATAACTTGTAACAATGACTTTGTTTTTGGCTGGTAAATCACAAGACAAACAAACTCACACAATTGCTGTATTTTATTATTTAATCTTGAATTATTGAATATCACTGTCCTGCGCTAGATACTTTTGCTGTATCTTTTGTATTCACATGAGCAACTAATAATTTTATAGTCGTAACAATAAGTTATGTAGAATGAAAGTTCAATAGTTCATTTTGTAGAAAATTTAATGGTTATTAAAATAATTACTATTTTTCTGTTTCCTTCTTGTCTCTGCTTGTCTGAAATACTTGCCTCGAAAATAGTAATCTTTCAAGTGATGTTGGTAGAATATTCGCAGGTAGGTAATTGAGATACATCGTGTCAAATCCGTAGACTCGCCCACATTTATGGGTCTTTTTAGCGCATTTTCTCAGTTATGGAAAAAAGGCGCTATTGTGCTCGTCATGTCTGTCTGTCCGTCCGTCTGTCTGTCCGTGACCACGTTTTCGTCGACGAGAAAATGCGCTCTCTGTCACTCGCTGCAGTGAGTACCGAGTTATATTTTTTCCATATGTTTCACAGTATTCATCCATGTTGCTTATTCGACATGTATTCTAAGAAATAGATTTTTTTACAGTATTTATTCATAGACGGGTTGAGAGGCTTGTGTTATTAGAGAGTTCTCATACATGTGCAGGACTACCTACTACCTGTTCCAAGCCGCTGCACCATTATTAACTAATTACTTTATTGATGGCAAGCTTTGTTGAACCATTTATTTTCACAACATATCATGCTTGCCTATCAAGCATGAAAGAGTAATGATAACATAATAATAACATGTTGCTAGGGAGATAATAACATTATATATTACGAAAAAATTCCGAAGTGAAAAATTCCTCATTAATGTACGAATTGCAAGCTCTGTTAAACCTATTGGTTTTACCTATCATGTATGCCAGCCACTCGTTAAATTATTAGTGCTTAATTAATGTAAGAATTGCGCATTTCTGTTAAACTTATTGGTATTACCAATAATTTCTCCCTACCACGCGATTTATCTTTAGTATTTAAAGGCTGATGAAGACGTGTGTGTTCGGTGCACATGCAGAACTGCACACTCGAGGTCATGCTCTACATGCCTCGGCCTGCAGGCCTATACGCGATGCACCTCCGTCTTATTGATCATCTGGCAGGTTACTGCGAACTTTTACTGCCTATAAGGCTGCGGTATACTACACCTATTGATCGCTGATTGGCCACAGAAAGAATCTCGGTCTTTTATGGAAAATTCACGCTAATGAGGCAGCATAAAATCCGACT